CGGAGGGAGTCCCGGTCTACGGCATTATTTCCAAGTTTTCCGGACCTTGCCAACGGATGCCTCTCTTGGATATTAAGGTGCCCACGCCACTTTTTTTTTCCTCCCTGGAGAGGAGCTCCCACCCCACCGCACTCTCTCCCCTTTCCCCCTGACCCGTGTGTGCTCTTTCTTGATGCCTCTTCGCGCAATTCCCCCCCCCTCCCGCCACTCAACCTTTTTTCCCCTTGGATCTGCATCTTTGGTCCTATTCTGGCCCCTGCTATGATATCCTGCTTTTCTGCTTAAAGCAAGTACTGTAGTCCCCTTTTGCCATCCCTCTCTCCTGTGATCCGAGTCTCTTCCAGGGTTCCCTTATGTGCCCTTGCTCTCTGGCTCGTTTCCCATTGATCTCTTCCCCCCTTGCCCTGAAATGCCTCCGCGCTCTCTTTGTTTTGCGGCTCTAGCCTTTGCCATGGCTCCCTCCCTTTCACTTCCCTTTCCTCAGTTTGGGGGCCTTGAAATCGAGTCAGTTTACCCAACTGTCCTTTGTTTGGCCCCAATTCTTATTTTTGTTCTAGCTTGCCTGTCACATTACCTAATTTCTTTTTGCCTTTCTTGTCGCTCAGTGATTTTTGTGCTTGCTTGTTTTTCTGGCATTGGTTACTAGGCTTGTGTTTGCTACTTGATCCTTAAAACTCAATTCGTTTCCCCCAAGTAAAATGGAGGGCTGGTGCTACAACACCCGAACACCCCCTCCCCATTATCCTTCATGCTCCTTCCCATATCCCTACTGAAGCTTAAAGACAAATATATTACCAATAATGCTGCTTTATGGGTTTGGGAGGGTAATCTACAGAAATGGTTGATTTTTTAAAAATGCATCAATCTGTTTGAACATTTTGGCAGTCTGTGGTAGATTGATACTTGAGCAAATAGATCTCAGACTTTTTATTTTATTTCACATTTTATTTTCTGCCTTGGACTACTTTAGAGCCTGCAAATGTGGTAAGAGTCAGGAAAGCAAATAATTCCTTTTTGAACTGTGAAGTTTATTTTCATTTTAATTCTCCTAGTTTGACTTGGAAAAAGTTATTGAGTGTATGACTAGATGTTTCTTTTCTTGTAGATTGTATTTTGTAGCCACCTAAGAATAAATGTTTGGTGTCTTGCCAATAAGGAGAACACTGTGTATTTGTTTTAGAGGGAGTTGATTTTTCTCTGACATTCTTTCCTCTCAGCTGGTTACAGAACTCTTTATATGTTAAAAACATTTTTGTTAGAGACTGTTAACTTTAATTGGCATTCCTAAGCTAATTTTAAAAGTAACAATTTGTATGGGTGAGACAGCTGCATAAACTCATCATGATTATTGACCTTCTAAATGGATGCTAAAATTATTTTTCCTGTTAGCTACATAACCGCTCTTTGAAGGGGGTGAAATAAGATGTCCTGAGTGTGCCTATATTTTTGGGGAGTTTTACACAATAGGTCCACCGCTTGGATATGCTCCTTGTCATGGTGAGGGGATCTATGTTATGGGAGCTGAGAGGCAGGAGGCTAGATCCATTATGAGTTTAGACTTAACAAGGTCAGCCAAAATGGAATAGTCAGAACTGAAACACCAGTTAAGATGCATCAGTTTTGTTCAGGAATTAATGGCCACTTCAACAGAAGGGAATTAATAGTTCCAATGGTGATGGAGGCAAAGAAATACCTGAAGGGTAGCTATGTATTTAGCAGAAGCAGTGGCACTATGACAGTGCTAACCTGTTAGTAAACTGCTTCTCAATATTTATACAGTACTTTGAAAATGCTATGATGAGATACTGCAGGAAGATAAAACTCCCAGTTTAGAAGGCACTGAATCAGCTACAGAACAAGAGGAAAGGATTACATATGAGCTGTGCTCTTGCTAACAGCTTCAACTTTTCCCAGTTTTATTGTCTTTTCTAAGAAGTCTTTTTATGGTATGCCAGCAGTACGACAGTCTCAGTCTAGTAGTTTCTGCTTTTAGGGAGAGTTTAGGTTTTATTTGATCTAGAAACTACTTATTTAGCAGCCTGGCAGTCCATAGTATCCACAAAAGTCTCTTCCAACACAGTATTTTAAATGAACCAATGTTTTTGTGTGTCAGTTTCTTAATTGACCAGCTTTCCATCTATACATAGTTATTGGGGATACTGTACCACAGAGTAGATTGTCTTCACCTTGGTGTCCAGGGGTATATTTTTTGTGCTTGAGGATCTTTTCTATGAGTTCTATCCTCCTGAGTCTCAGTTGCCTTCTGATTTCATTGCTTCAGTTCCTGTTTGGACTGGTGGTTGTAGGTCACTGGAACACAGAAGTAAAAGAGAAGCAAACATGATTGAACAATTTGGCCTAGGGGTCACAAGTGAAACAGAAGAATAAGTCTTAGAATTCTATGAAGCCTGCAATTTGTTTATTGCTGACACATGCCACAGGCAACCTAACAGACCATTATATACATAACTTCAGTACACTCAGTACAGGAATCAAATAGGGTCCCATTATAGAAACAGAAGCTGAAGAAGGAATCTCTGTTCTTTCTGCAAAAACAAAGTGAGGACCAGACTGCCATACAGACCATTAACTGTTAATATCAAATATTAGAGTGAAGCTGAAGAACAACACTCAGGCAATCATAGTGGCAAAATATAATTTATATAACATTTCTGAAGAATGTTAAGGCCATGTAAAGAACAATCAGCATTATTAAATTCAAATGCCAATATTCAGTAGTAAGTTACAACTAGAGTAGGCCCATTCAATCAATGGAACTTACAAAGGAATTGACTCACTAAACTCCCACTCATTAAGTAGGCCTATTTTAGTTGCAATTTGCTACTGGATTTCAGCCTAAGAGATATTTTGAGCCAAGCTTAGGGATGCTGAGAAGTCAACAGGGGTATATTGTATATAATCATGACGAAATAAAGAGACATTGGAAATAATATATTGAAGAACCATATAGAAGAGATGCAAGGATAACAGATTCTTTAAAGACAAATGCTGTGAACTGCTGGATAGCTCAGTGGTTTAGGCATCGGGTTGGCAGTTCAGTTCCCCACCTCCTTGAGAGGGATTGGGCTCAGTGATCCATAGGGTTCCGTCCAGCACTGCAGTTCTGATATTATAGATTATAGAACATACAGGTTTAGAAAGTGAAATAAAAGCTGTTCTCAAAAACTTGGAAGAAATCAATTATGGAAGTAGGTGAGATACCAGTGGAGCAGTTTCTAGCTACAGAGACAGAATCTAGCACAATCCTAAGAAGGATATACCAACAAAAAAGGAAAACAAAACTGTACCTGCAAATTGGAAATATACATTCCAGTCCCAAACAATGGAGATGTCATGGACTGCAGTAACTATTGGAGCATTACATTAATTTCCCATGCAAGGAAAGTAATATTTAAGATTTTAAAACAAATACTAGTATTGTATTTAAAGTAAGAAATGCTGGAATGTCAAGCTGGATTCAGAAGAAAAAAGAGATACTAGAAATGACATTGAAAATATTGATTGACACGTGGAATGTATGAAAGAATACCAGAAGAAAAATCGGTTGGTGCTTTAGAGATAGTAGTATACCCTTTGACTCCATGGATCATGAAAAATGATAGAAAAACAGGTGTGTTACAACATTGGATTGTCTTGATGTGTAGTCTGGACAGGAGGCTACTGTTTGGAGAGAATATGTGAAAAAACCAGTGTATTTCTAGTAAGTAAAGATATTAGGCAAGGCTCATAGTATTATAGTATATAACTAACAGGGATGTGGTGATGCTGCGGGCTAACCTGCAGAAGACTGTGCTGCAGGGTCAGAAGACCAGCAGTCGTAAAATTGAATCCATGCAACAGAGTGAGCTCCCGCCGCTTGGTCCCAGCTCCTCGCCAACCTAGCAGTTCGAAAGCATATAAATGCGAATAGATAAATAGGTACCACCTTGGTGGGAAGGTAAAACGGCATTCCTTATTCGCGTGGCCATGTGACAATGGAAACTGTCTTCAGACAAGCGCTGGCTCTACGGCTGGAAAACCGGGATGAGCACCGCCCCCTAGAGTCGGACAGGACTGGACTAAAAATGTCAAGGGGAACCTTTACTTTACCTAACAGTTAGGAAGTTTTTCCCGATACTCTGTTGAAATCTGGCTCTCTGTAACTTGAGCCCATGAGTATGTCTCTTTCACTCTGGAATGATTGAGAATTTATTTTATGTCTCTGTCTCTTCATTTTATATGCAGAACATATCATGTACAAATCTAGATTAGACTCAGATGAAGTAGGAGTGAATATTAGCAGAAGAAATGTCAATAATTTAAGATTATCCAGATGAGTCTATATTACTATGAGAAAGTAGCAATGGCTGAACCAGGTTTTGATGAAAGAGCACTTACTCCAAATAAACTGATGTTTTCAGATTTTATAGGACTTAAGTATTCTAATTGTTAAATAAAAACATTATTCAAAATTATTTTAATCCTGAAGATCAATATGAGTAAAAGTATTTTGTACGTAAAATACTACTCATAATTTTCTTGTCTTCTTTTTCCCATTTTTGCGTGCTCTTAAGGAAAACCTGTGGCCAAAATCCTTTTGTCATTTTATGCCAGCATGATACAAATAGTGTCAATTTTGAGAGGGAATCATTGTAAGTTACCAAGTCAGTGTAGATTATTATTTGCTGTACACTGGATCATACAGTTTGACATGCAGCAGATACATGTATAAGTTGTTGGGGGCGGGGGAGAATCCATCCAGTTTCACAAGAAAATAGAGGGGCGTGCTTAACAGAAAATTCTAGCCGTTTTAAAGGAAATCTTGCAGCTAAATTTCTTTCAATTATAGTAGAGTATCTGCATTTAATAATCATAATCTTAGAACTCCAGAACTGGAAGGGACCCACTGGATCATCACGTCCTGAACCTGAGATACTGGACCATTTAGCTATCCAGCCTGTTGGACTGTGAAACAACACATCTCATAATATGCCCTGATTAGGCTGTGTCTGCTTTGTGGAAGTTTAGCAAAGAGAATAAATTTGAAAATAGTTCTGGAACTCATAGTCTGTGCTTGAACAATGAATATGTCAAGTTAATAAGTCACAATATGCATCAATCCTCTACACTTGCCCACAGCCACTTCAATATTTGCATAAATGAAATGAGCCAAGAAACGGAAGTTTCCCATAGTTTCCTGTTATTTTTTATTAAGGAAATGATTCTGATTTCGGAACAAATCAGAATAGGAAGGCATGGTCTAAAAAGTTTGCTTTCCCATCCTGTGCACTTTAGATATGCCTGTTTAACAGAGTCTGAATTGGCTCCATTAGACTCTACTGTTTGTCAGTTGGATCCAGCCCTTTGACTTTTCACATGTGTACATTTGTGTCTTTAGTTATATCTGTACAACTGAAAGGACTAGAATCTTAAATAGTATTTGTTCAACATATTCATTATGTAATCATTTTTTTATCCTGCCTTTCTCCTCAAAAGGCAGCAAGATGGCTTGCATAATTAAAAAACAGCATTTAATAGCAAAAACAGTAAGTATACAAACACTAAATAAGAATTAAACAAGTATTATATTAAAATGGTAAATAAAATCAATATTAAAATGCATTTAAAACTACAGAGCACAACAGTCCATTAAAAAAACCCCTCACAGACCTCCAGTCATTAAGGAAAAGCCTGCCTGAAGATGTGCTTCTATCTTGAACTTTCTGCTGCTGGTGATGTATTGGCCGTAGCCACATAGCATACTGCACTAATACTGTATTCCAGTAACCATATAGTCTGTAGTTCTGTTGTTCAGTCATCTTTTGAATGTGAAGGTATAAATTGAGGCAGAAGTCAGTTGCTTAAAATAGTAGATTAAGTAATGTGGGTAGGTGTGTTTTTTCCGTAGTCTCAGCACTTTTGAAATATAATTTCTGGCTAAATACAGTTTCTCAACTTTCATAAAGGTGGTAAGTTTAGTTAATACTTTTAAAATATAATACAGGACTTTAAAAAACTTCTAAAACTGTTATAGTTTTATTAGTACAACCAGGATAAATCACATTGACTCTTTTTCTTCAAGTCTTATATGTATCATTGTCATGTAGAATTCTTGTCTTGGAAAGTGGCATGCAAAGTCTATGGTTACTGTTCCAAGTGCAATATCCAGTTATTCATACCATTTCTTCTGCTTGTTGGTTTTTTTTTCAGATCTGTATAGTATTAATCACTTGCAACCATGGTGCAGAAATACCAATCACCTGTGAGGGTGTACAAGCACCCCTTTGAGCTAATTATGGCTGTAAGTATCTGTTTGTACTATATTTTGAACTGTATTGATTGTGTTAATGATCTGCTTTGGTAAGTAATAGTGAAGGTTTGTGAATCTTAAGTGGTGTGGAATTTCCATTTTCTGAAAAGGGTATTGATGCTGTTTAAGACCGTTTCTAATTACAGATAATTCATACTGACATCTGCTCCAAATTATGGTTTCAGTAGAGCAGCGGTCCCCAACATTTTTGGGAGTGTGGACTGGTTGAGGGGGGTACAGGCTCTGTGTATGGGGGGCAGGGGCACCCCCGTGCTTGCAGGTGGGCGTGTCATGGTTGTGGGTGGGTGTATTGCGCTTGCGGAGGGGCGTGTCACGCTCGCAGGTGGTTGTGCTTCGCTTGCGGAGCAGCAAGTGCAACACACCCCTCTGCAAGTGTGACACACCCCTCTGCGAGCACATCACGCCCCCATGGGGGGGCAGAGATCCGTCTCCACGACCCAGTTCCAGGAAGCCCACGGACCGGGGGTTGGGGACCCTTGCAGTAGCGGACTTGGAACAAGAATATGAAGGCAACTGAAATAATCTCCCCAGATCAATTAGACAATTGATTGGTTCAGTTTATGTGTCACATTGAGCTGTGGCTATGAAAACTTAACTATGGTTCAACAGGGTATTTGAACTGACAGATGTTCAAAATGTTTCCTTGTCCAGCCTCAGAGGCCACCATCTAAATGCTAGAGAGTTGTGAGGAAAAAAAAAGCAAAGGTAGAGATCTCTAAACCATGCTTATCTGTACTTCTGAAAGATCATATGGTTGGGTTCTGAACAAACATTAGGTGTACAGTGGCTTAATGTGATGTCTGAATTGAACCGTTGTCTAACATCTGATTCTGAGAGTGAAAAGTTGTGTACCTAGTAGTGTAGTCTAAGATAAGCAACAGCTGTGGGTTGGACAGGAGATAATTACATATTTCTTGCATAAGAATTTGCTCTTTAGCCTAGCAGTTATACTGACAGACTTAATGTAGGAGGCACAACAAGTCTGAAGGTGTTGGAAGTGGCCTTTTTAAGCAGATTGTCAGGATACTCTGTGCAAAAGAGTTTCTTTTGACTGGAGTACCAAGATATAGTTTTGAAATGGTTCTGATAGAATAATAGGAATTGTTATACTTATGGCTTAGCAAGCCATCAACACAAACATAGGAAGAGCTCTTAGTTAAAGCAGTATTAAATGGTGGCATGTTAATGTGTAGATTTAATCTTCAGATGGCAGTTCTCTGGCTTGCTGGTGTTATATGCTCTTTCCAATAAAGATGGGCACACTGGTAAATATATCTGAAAAGAACCCCAGGTAGATTAAACTGGGATGTAGTGGGGTCAAAAAAATCTTCACAGAGGCAAACTATATGTTCATCATTCCTCTTGGCCTTGTTGGGAAACTTTCTTGTGCAAATAAATATAGTAGAAACCAACAAAAAAGAGAAAGTCTCAAGTTTATTATAGTTATGTTTTTGCTACCTTTATTTTTAAAACAAATTGTACTAATACGTACAGGAAAGTTCTCCTGATTTGGGGCAAGGTTTTAAGGCTACTTAGTCGATTTCACAGTTGTTTCATTTCTGTTTAGTAAACAGGATGTTGGCAGAAATGTCTGCTTCTTTGTTGTCTGATTCTGAGCATTAAATTTGTTTGAGGTCTTATGTGCACTATTAGCAATTATAGGTGTTGAACTTGATTTTTGAAGATGTGCACAGTATATTAAATAACCTTCTTCCCACATGTGAGTGTAACAGTAATGGATTTATCCAGATAGTTAAGTGTTCTCTCAGAGTTCCTGTATTATATGCACGTATTTGTTTAAGTCCTGATTCTTTCTGGAAGAACATTTTTAAACAGGATGACATGAACTGTTTCCTATATTAAGCACTCTGTTTTCTTAGTTTGTAGTTTTTTGTTTGTTAGATTGATGGGTGCTACTGATGATCTACTTGAAAAAATGGCATATATTATGGGTATGTAAAATGCCATGTATAAGGTAAAGCTGTATTAAATTGTATTACTGTGAAACCAGACTGTTATGATTGTGCCATTTGGAAATATGGCTCCTTTGTCCCACTGAAAGTAACATCCATTGACAATATTAATGTGTTGTTGGAGATATGTAGAGATGTAAAATTTATGAAAATTTCCATTTTTTTCCAGAAGAAAAGCTTTTCCCCAGTTTTGTTTTGTTTGTTTGTTTTTTTGGGAAAAAAGGCATTTTTTGAAAATTGTACATCTCTAAAGATAAGTAGGATGTGTGCTTGCCTTATGTTCTTTTAAAAACAAATGTCTGTTTTTTTTTCTGTTTTTTTTAATAAATTTTATTAAGTTTTTGTTGAGAGTACAAACCAATGAATGGTATTGTAGTAATGGTTGTCTTCAAGTACTCTCATGGGCTAGATCAGTGGTTCTTAACCTTGGGTTACTCAGGTGTTTTTGAACTGCAACTCCCAGAAACCCCAGCCAACACAGCTGGTGGTGAAGGCTTCTGGGAGTTGCAGTCCAAAAACACTGGGTGTTCTTGGACTGCAAATTCCCAGAAGCCTTCACCACCAGCTATCAGTCATGACAAAGATCAGATTTCTGCATGGCATACTGTATCTGACTATGCCCTGAAACGGTTTGATGATGTAACCTAATGGTTCTTTACCTTGGGTAACCCGGGTGTTCTTGGACTGCAAATTCCCAGAAGCCTTCACCACCAGCTATGCTGGTTGGGGCTCCTGGGATTTGCAGTCAAAGAACACCTGGGTTATCCACGTTTAAGAACCACTGATGTAACCAATAAGAGAGGATGCTACCTAGGCATAATGATTAGTGGCACACAGGATCTGATAGAAGATTATAGTATTGCTCAACCAATTGTAAATGGTAGCCTATGCAATTTACCGTAGCTTACATACATGTAAGTGGAAATCTGTCCAAGGATGGCCAGCAAAATATTATTGTCTGCAAAAGAGGAAAGTTCTCAAAAATTAAAATTTTCCTTTTTAAAAAAAAGTTAGCATAATGCGAATTTAAGAGGATCGAATTTCCTCAGAACATTTAGGGAATATTAAAAACCACAACAGTAGATGTATAGAATAAGTCAGAAGAGGTATTGAGTTTGAAAGTTCACAAGGGTGGACAACAGAAACAATAGCTTCCTTCAGAGAGCTGAAGAATTGCCTGAACAAGGAAGGCATTTAAAAGAATACAAATTAGAGAAAAGAAAACAATTAGAGGTGTAAAAGGAGAATTTGAGAAGCATACTAATTGCATGGAGGCCAAAAATTAAAAATTCAGAAGCAGGAAACCATCTGTGGATGTGGCTGGACCCTTGAATGACAGTTGAAGTCGAAGGAGCACTAAAGGACAAGTAGGGGAATTGGAGAGAGGCAGAATAAATTGGTTGCTGTACGTTTTTTGGGCTGTTTGGCCGTGTTCTGGAGGTTTTTCTTCCTAACATTTCACCAGTCTTTGTGGCCGGCATCTTCAGAGGACAGGAGTTAGAACAGCCTGAAAAACCTACAACAGCCATCTGATCCCGGCTGTGAAAGCCTTCGAGAATATGCAGAATAAATTCTTTATTGTGCCTGAATTCCTATTTCAAATAGTTTAAGGAACTGGGACCAAAAGAAACAAAAAACAAAACTACTATCTCAAAACATAAGGTAGTAGACTTTATTGAACAAAATGAACATAAATTCTTGGCCCAAATCCTCTTGCTTAGTTATGGTCGGATGCCTGTGATGATTTATTGATTTTTATTTGGTATACTAATAACATGAAATGTAAACTGCAATTTTATTATAACAAAAAATGGAATACTGTTGTATTTTATTTAAACTATTACAATATATGCAACACAGACTGAAGTCCAGTAACATAAAGTTATGTCACATATATCTGATGATATCATTCACCACAGCTGTATTTTGATAACTAACCATTTCCTATTCTGCCCATCTATTCAAGGTTCCTGACTCTCTTAGGATCTCTTTGGTTCTGGAGGAGCCTTTGGGGGCTGCAGGATGGGACAGGAAATGTCTTAAATATCTTGAAAAGTTCTGCTGCCAGCCCCAGCAGCTGCACCAGGACCAGCAGCAGTGATTTTCAGACACTAAGTCTCTCTTCCATCCCATGGCCCCCCAAAGGCTTCCCCAGGACTGCAGGGAGATCTGAAGGGAGTCAAGGAAGCTTCCACAGCCTAGGAAATTTTGAATTACCAAAATAAAGCTGTGACTGTTGACATCATCAGACATTATCATCAGCTATAGTAAACACTGGGGGCAAAACTCTGTGTCTGAAAGAGTTTCAGGTAAGTGCATTTTCTACACAACACTTTGGACTAAAAAAGAAAGCTGTGTGATATCTTAACTGGATCACAAAGAAGGTACTAATATTAAAACAGTAAACTAGCCTGCCTCATGTCTGCTTTGAGAGATTTCAGCCAAAGTTGGTCAGTGATGATAGGGCAGGGCAATATTTGAGGAAGGATCTGAAAGAAAAGAGGATGTATTAGTAACTCCTTCATGCCATTTTCTTATGTAAAGCAAAAGCCTCTTAAGAAAGGGGGAAACTGCATATAATTGTGATGAAACCTTAATGGATTCCTAGCTTCATGGTCTGCCACACAAACTTTATCGATTCTATCTCTATTGCTATGAAGTACAGGCTGAACTAAAACTAGTAGAACAGGATTAATTCTAGATTTTAATCTTTTTCGTTTTGTTGGTGGACACGTAAGTAAGCATTTCTTGTCATAAGATGTGGAAAGGATATTGAATTTGGGGGAGAATCTTTATTTTATTTTATGAAGGAGCAAAAGTTTTTACTTGGCTTATACAGGTTTATGAATACTGGTGTCAATCATGTTGAAGTCTGTTGCCCATTTGTAATCTAGTTTTCTGGTACCAGTTACTTTAGTGGAACTGTTGCAATTAAAGATTACCAAGCTTTTAGTTTACTGTTGGGTAGTCAGTGGGTTGATCTGGGGAGGAGAGCAG